GCAGCGGTAGCCCAGCGGGCGGGCTCCGGAGCCTTCCCGCGCGGCGTTAGTCCGCTGCTCGGCCGGGACGCCAGCAAAGGCTCTTCCCGAGAAGCCGAGGCCACTGAGGAGTCGTTACGACCTTTAACTTGAGGGCCACGGAACTGCTGATCCCGCTTGCCTTTGGCGATCATCTTTAACCCCCCGGTGTACGTCAGCATCCAGCCACAGCTGCGCTCCCCCTGCAGCAGAGGACTCAGGACTACCCCCTCGGGCGTGACGGATGGAGACCGAGCCTCTCCGAGGACCTGCCCCTGCAGTTCTGGCTCGCGCGGCTCAAGTAACCACCGTGAACAAGGGTGGGTTAACGCCTTTTCTTCCCCCCCAAATATCTTTCTTTTCGCGGTATTTTCTGCCCTGATCTAGTCCCTTAAGTCTCCGCACACATTCCTCGCAGAGATCCGCAGTGTAGGTACGTGACAGCTCTGCCTACATTTTACGTCCAGAGTAATTTGCCAGGAATATTTGTGTGTCTGTGTGTCTCTCTGTTGAATCACCAGAATTCTTCATAGGGGTTAAGCTAAAAAGCGAGGAGCGGAGCCCCTCTCCAATGGCTCAGTTTTGCTGAATAATCACGTGTGAATCGAGGGGCGGGCTTTTGGCAGGCTGATCTTACTAGTATTTACTACCAAGCTCTACTCCAGATTAACCATCCCAGTCTTCTGTCAGTCTCCGATGCCATCATGCAGCCTGGTTAGGAGCAAAGGAAAGGGGAAAAAGAAAAACAACTAATTCATCTTTTCCCGACCGTCAGGACCCTAAAGAATGGCCGAACCTTGGGGGAACGAGTTGGCGTCCGCCGCTGCCAGGGGGGACCTAGAGCAACTTACTAGTTTGTTGCAAAATAATGTAAACGTCAATGCACAAAATGGATTTGGAAGGACTGCGCTGCAGGTTGGTATCCAGAGAGGTGGGGAAAACAGGTCAACAATGTTGCCTACGTGACCCGGGTTTCTAGAGTAACAGCTTTTAAGCTTTCAGGGGTACAAAATTTCACTGTTTTTAAACCTAGTTGGTTGCCATATTTTATATCTGTAAGTGGATCCAACTCCCCAAAATGACGTACTTTGAACAAACTCGTCAAATCCAATAACATCCTCTCTATCAAGTGGGTTCCAGGTTTGGTCTTAATTTTTGGAATGTTTTTGTGACGGTAGAGATTTGAAAGTAGTTGTAGCAGCGCCGAGTTTTGGTGTGTGTGTGTTTTTTTTTTAAGACAGCTCTGTAAACACATTATTATGATTATCATTTGAAGTAAATACACTGCTATTAGTGGTTTCCGTACTTTGCTCCAATAATTGATTTTAACGTTAATTTTCTTGACTACTGGCAAGGGTGTTTTTCTTTCAAATGCTTCAAGTTTTGACAAACGACCTTTCCTCGTTTGGAATGGGTGGACAGGGCACGGGGACAGGATGTACATTTCACAGTTAATGTAATACCATCCACCCATTCAGGATTGAGGAGGAATAAAATGTTGAATTTTCTAATCAGAGCTCAGCTTGTAGTGTTTTTGTCTCTGCGGTCATGCCGTGGTATGTTCTAATTTTCAGTAATTAGATTTACAAGCAACAAATGAAACGTGTCCAGCTGCCAAGTATTGTACCTGATAATTTTTTTCCTCTGAACGTTATCATGTAACTTAGTTGAAAGGCTGAGAACAGAAAAATGGAAAAGTAGTCTCAAACAGTTGCTTTATCAGAGTTCTGATGATATTCTTATGAGCTATTCTTATTCGGAAATGCCACACTTGAAACACTGAAAACTGGAGAAAGGGTTTTTTGGGTGCTTTGTTTTAGTTACAAGAATTAGATATTTAAGTGGCAAGAGGTATACTATTAAGTGATGAAGTTCATACAGTCGGTACATTTTAAATCAGAATACACTGACCTTGCAAAATTTTCAGTATTAAGGAAGCTTATGCGTAGATACTAAATAATTTATCTTGTTATTTCAGGTAGGTTAAATGGGGAAAGAATTTTTTTCTTTCTCTACCTAGTCGTTTTCAACAGGTTTGGTGATGACAGCAACACCACAAATTTATTAAAAAGTTTCTTATTGAAAACTAAAAAGAGTTTACAAATCTCACAAAGAATGAGCCACTTAACTCTTGTTTAGAGTAATATCTTACAGGACTTTTGACGAACAGGGAGACTGGTAGATTAATACTGAAAAAAAAAAATGTTTTGACAAACATTTTAAATACAATTCTCCAATCTTGTTTATATTAAACATACTTATCAAGATACTAACACCTTCTTATTGTATCTTAGTCCTGGTACATATAATGAAACACAGGAGTCTCAAGGCTTATTTTCAGTATGTATAATTCTAACTCTGAAGTTGTGTCATAACTCAAGAACTTTCTTTCAAAACAACTTCTAATACTACTATTATTTTCTGTGAAAGATGGCAAATTTCCTTCTTATATTTATGTTTATTTAACTCAATTGTAAAAGTTTGTTTCCCTTTCCTAGTGTAAGCTTTTCAATCAGGATAATATAAAAGGCCTTAATCGTACATTTGCTTTACAAAGATCCAAGGTGTCTGTCTCTTATTTTTCCTAGTCCAAGTCCTTAAATGTAACTAAATCTTTAGAGGCAGTTGTGGCAAATATTAGATTGTGTTAATTTTTAATAACCAAAAAGTGTATTTCATTGAAGTTCTTGGAAAAAAAATTATGTATCATTTTTACCACTGGCTCAAAGGAAGAGCTAAAAACCACCAGGGTTTTATCAAACAGGGAAGCTTAATATTTTAGCCATCTATATAGAGTGCGTTTATATAATATTATTCATTCTAAATAAATTTTATTATATTAATTTGTGGTTATTTTTAAAACAAACATTTTTAAAGAGATAGATCAACTTCGTATGTATTTTCCAATGGATTATATTTAATTTCACAAATATTTGAGTATCTTTTATACAATCTATTTATTATAAATTTATATTATGATGAGTATACCTAAATATAAATGAAACCAATTAAAATGCTGAAATTTTCTGGCATGTTAATGCAACTATATTTTTTCACAACTAAATTATATGTATTGTGTAATTGCATATTGCTCTATAAGACATTTTATAATTATGAGAGCCTAATAGAGACCTCTTATTAGAGTAAAATATATTCAAACAACGGTAGGTAAGTCTTTGTCATGTGAATTATTTCTGTTGACAGCAAATTTTAATATCACATTCTGACTTTAAAAATGCTGGCAGTTTACAAACAGCTATTCCTAAATGCCTGATAATAACTGCAAAAGGAAATAAGATGGGATCACCAGCTGATTATTAAGTGGGTTCAAACCACAAAGCTGTTTGTGTCCTAAAATACACATTAAATATCTTATTTTCTCTTATTTTGCTCACTTGAAAATCAGGAGGCTAGTTAGAACTTTAAGAAACAGTTAATATAGTAAGATGACTGTTTCATTCTTTTCGAGAACATTTGTCATACAATCATCTCCTATTTAATACACGAACTTAGTTTTAGATGAATCAATATCATAAGCCACGTAAAACACTGTTGCTTATTTAACACCTTCATAATCAGTAACATTTTAAAATTTCAAGTGAGGGATTCTAAGCACTGAATATATCTAGTAGCCAATATGAAATAACTTGTAAAGAAAAATAATTTATAAAAACAGTTGGAAATTTGGCACTATTATCTATTAGGAGAGAAATTGTGAAAATTCATTCTTTAAGGAAATATCAGGTCTTGGTTTTTAACAAATCATTTTTACACTAGGTGATGGGGTCTGATGAGTAGAAATACTGAAGATTTAAAGAAACTCGCTCTCCTTATTTCTTTTTAGTAGCTATTTAGAAAATAAATTTTACCCACATTTGATTTTCTATAGTAAATACCCTAGGTACATTTTATGAGCATGAACAAGCATAGAGGAAGACTCTTATTTAAATCTCAAATTCCATTTATTTTATTTTAATAAACTCATGAAATTACATAATTCTTCATGGGAGATAGAGAACTGAGTTTTGAGTAAATTTGTATACAGTTTGAACTAATTCTATTTTATTGATCAATTTATCATACTTTGGGGCTGGGTTAAGATATTCCATCGTAAAACGCAATTTTTATGTTTTCTTCTACTTTTATCTAGTAGTACTTTCCTTCCTGCAACTGAGCCCTTCAAACTCCATCATATGGGTCTTCCTAAGTACTTCTTCACCAAAAATAGTTACATAAATAGGAGAGGTGGATATTTTAAAATATTCTTGTAGTAGGAGCACTTAAAGGATTCTACCTTTTTTTTTTTCTTTTCTAGGTTATGAAACTTGGAAATCCCGAGATTGCCAGGAGACTACTACTAAGAGGTGCTAATCCCAATTTGAAAGACGGAACTGGTTTCGCTGTCATTCACGATGCAGCCAGAGCAGGTTTCCTGGACACTTTACAGACTTTGCTGGAGTTTCAAGCTGATGTCAACATTGAGGATAATGAAGGAAACCTGCCCTTGCACTTGGCTGCCAAAGAAGGCCACCTCCCGGTGGTGGAGTTCCTTGTGAAGCACACTGCCAGCAAAGTGGGGCATCGGAACCATAAGGGGGATACCGCCTGCGACTTGGCGAGGCTCTACCGGAGGAACGAGGTCGTTAGCCTGATGGAGGGAAACCGGGCGGAGGGAGCTGAGAATCGGCAATGAATGTGGGGAGGGCTCTCTCCCACACTGCCTTCTATTTTGTCAGTTAAATTGTTAGCTGTCCTATTTTTAATGTCATTTGTTAAAATTCAGTTCCGTCATATTTTAAGGAACTAGTTAAATCTTCTGAAACTAAGTGAAAATCTTACTACAGGTTTTATGAATATATTTAAGCAACTTTTCACCTGCAAAATCCTGCGTTCTAACATGTAACTGCAAATAGCTATGGCTTTCTTCTGAATATTTTATCTTTCCTTGACTTTTTCCTTGTTTCTCCCTTTGCCATTCTCAATACCCATATTTAAAAATGGTTTGTCCTGATGCTTCTTTTGCCTAATTAAAACACTTTTTTCAAAACAGGACAATGTTTTTCTGTGATTTCCACTCCTCTATAACCTCCACATAATTTGCCACTTGCTAAGGAAACCATATAAAACATCATGATGTTTTAAGTCTTGACATTAGAAAACGTACCAATTGAAAAACTAGACATGTTCTGGTGATTCAATTATTCTTTTCTTCCGCTCCTTATGCCTCTACCCAAAGAGTTTATTTGGTGCCTAGTATTTCTGCTTTAAAATAGAATAAGAACAACGTTTTTTGAGGATCAAACCTGAAATTATTTCAATGTGAATTTATCCTAATGTTCAATCTTCTCTTTTTCTCAAACTTAAGTTGAATAGTTGAAAAACGGGCTTCAGAAGAAGCGATCTAAAACAAAATATACGTTAGCTCTAAAAGCTACTTTAAAAAGAAAATGCCAAATGAAACAATTGATTAAATAATATATTTCCACAAATCATACAATAAATACACTAAGTGTAACACTAGCTTTTTCTCTCTGAATGTCAGAAATGTAAAATTACAAAATGTTTAAGTTTTAAGAATGCAAATACCAATTTTAGGGGATAAAAATTTCGGCAAGAAAAAAATATATAAATACATATAAAGGTCATAACTAATTTAGGGGCTGCAGTATAATAGAGAAACTTTTACAATAAAATAGGCCACTCCTACACTCTTGATTCCTACAAAACTTTTTAGTAAGACATTTAAAATACTTTTAAGAATATGTCTAACTAAAAATATTTTTGAATGAAATAGAAATATCAAATTTCCAAGAGTATTTTCCAGCATCTACTACTTACTCTGCCACTTTAATTAAAGATTTTCACCAAAGGATTTCAATGCAGTTACCATTTATAAATTTATAAATACTTTATTCATCATCTCCCACATGAACAAAGATGTTTTATGTGAAAGTTCCCTCCTTCTGCTTCATAAATTCCCTGCCTTTGCTCCAAAAAGAACAAAATACTTCAAGGTTTATTGAAGGACATGGTTCTGATGCTTGAACTAACAAGGATTGGAATGGTTGCAGGCAAGTGGTTTTCAATAATTTGTTTTCCATAATAATATAAAAAGAAGATAGGAGAAAAAGTTTAATCTTTTTTATGTGGCACTAAAGTTTACCTTCCTTTAGTTAAGTGCAACAAGACTTCAACTTCTGCCACCTCTAACCACAAGTTACTGAATAAATTTATTTTTGACAGCAACATAAAATTAAATTTAAAACACTTATTTTAAAGCTTAGAAAAAATAGAAATTGGGATGTTTTGAAGGAAAAAGTGTTGTATTTGGATTTTAAAGTAGAATCAATATACAAAACACTGCTTAAATAAGCTGAATATTTTCTAAACAGGACTATTACTAAAAAATACAAACAACCCTTCTTACAAGTTCCAATTGTAAAGATGGACATTTCTGAATTTAAAATCGAGTTTAATGTCCTTTTCAGTATCCACCAAGTCTCAGCATCAAAATTGCTCTTTAGAGATTTAAAATATAAAGATATAGGACGTTCATAAAGCTAAAGATAAGCACTTCTGCAGTCATTTAATTCTCAGGTGGTCAGAGCACAATAAGGAAAGAGGTAGCTCTATCTCTTCAATAGCCTAAAATTTGCTTAGGCATTAAACATTGCCACATTTCCCCGGCTCTTCGCAGGAAATAGCTATGTTAATCTAAGTATTTTAGAAATGAGTTATGTGGTCCCCGCTAGGAAATATAAAAAGCCATTATTCTCTCAAAAACCTCGGTAATATTGTCAGACTTGAATATGCCGAAATGTATAGGATGGAAGAAATGGTGCTGCAGAGTTTAATGGGGTCTAATTTGCAGAGAGCTGAGGTGAGGAAGGGTCTGAACTTATTCAGATGCGGAGTGGAGAAGCAAGTGCTAATTAACAGAGTGATCAGAGCCCCAGAGGACGACACTATAGAAAGGGTGGAGGATGCTAAACAAGAGATGCGCTCTTAAATTCATTTCTTTACTGTATCCGCATCCACGTCGGGATACTCAGGCTCAGCCTTTGCCCAATATAAGCGGAAACCCGACTTACACCTGGAGGAGGGGACACTAACTGTACCTCAGTCCACGTTCTGGTCCCCGAACCACTAGGCAAACTGCATTTCACCATATTTCGGTAGTGAATCGATAGTTTTTCTGATAAACATTCCGTATCTTGTAATGGTGTGATGAGCTCGCGTGCGCGCACACACACACACACACACACACACACACACACACTCCACGCTGGGTGATTAATAAATAAAAAGAATTCTGTCCCGGGCAAGCAATCAATTGGTAATATTATAAATTTCTCTTATCGTGTTATCAGACGAACGTTGTGGAATCCGTGGCCCAGGGCTGGTTTCGAAATCTCAGTTCCCAAAAAGGTGCTTTCGGCTTTTGCCGGGGGTAGAAGTAATAGCCCAGAAGCGCTGCAATACCACAGCGCTGGAACGAGAAAGGGTTGTAGCCTTCCTGACTACCCTAAGTGACCTTCATCAAATGGCTACAGGAGGGGGGTTGCGGAGAGGGGAGTCCCTCTCTTGGTCTCTCGAGACTGTTTTGATTTTACACCGCAGGTCCGGTGTGTGTGTGGGGTGGGGGGGTGGACACAGATCCACGAAAGGACCTAGTGAGGCAGGAGACAATCTTCCAGCCTGAAACTCAGGGTAAAGCTGTGCTCATAGCTAACCCAACCCTTCTCTGGCGGGGCTGCGAAGACATCCTTTTTGTCCCTTCGAAACTCTCCAGACTCCAACTGCAGCTCCCGACTCCCCAGTGAGGAAGCTGGAGCCCAGAGCTCCCTCAGGGCGCGCAGAAAAGCCCGGGGTGGGGGTGGGGGAGTTTCAAAACCGTTAGCTCGCGTTTTTTTTTTTTTTTTTCCTTTTCCCTCCCTCGCTAAGGTTTCTTTTCTTTTCTCTTCCTGTCCAAATATTTCAAATTTCCGCGCCTTAAATAACAGTCTCCTTTTATTTAGTTAGTTTCCTCGGCAGGTTTGGCCGCCCGCTTGTCTCTGCCCCCCAGCGGGCTCGGGGCGCTTTGGGCACCTCGGTGCTGCCTGCAGCCCCTGCGCGCTGCCCCCGGCCCAGCCTGCGCGGCCCAGAGCTCCCGCCCGAGCCACAGCTCCCTCTTGCCGCGCGACCTCGCCTGACCCTGCTCTCTGGGCACCCACAGCTAACTAAGGCCGCCCCCCGCCCTGACGCCTGTCTGCCTCCCAACTCGACCTCCCTTCCCGGACTTTGGAGCCTCTTCGGCTTTGGGGTTTGGATCCCGGTTGCCCTGAAGCTGCGGAAGGGCCGCGGCGATAGGAAAGCAGCCGAAGAGGCTAGTGGCCGGAGCCTGCCCCAGCCCCCACCCTGCGGGTAACCTTGGAGGCGCCCTCGGAGTGAGTGTGTGCGCTGCTGCGCCAGCCGGCTGGGGAAAGCGGGCGCACGGCGCGGCGGGCAGTAGGCGGGAGCTGGGGGCGGGGATGGGGAGCGGGCCCCGGTGCCTCCCGGCCGCTGCAGCGCCCCGGGAGCTGCGGGCTACCGAGGCGACCAGGGTCCCCCAGCCCTGGCCCTCAAGCAGCGGTCCCCAAGGAGGCAGCGGCCATCCTACTGGATGGTTCCGGCGACCTGTGCCTGAGGACCGGGGCCGGAGGGAGACGTGGGAGCAGGGGCAAGAGGGCCGGTGAGTGCCTAGCTCTCTGCAGAGGTGAGCTGGCGGCGGGACGCGGCGCCGCGGCTGGAGCAACTCCATGCCCAATTCCAAGGCCAGCACTCCTTTCACCTCCCCCCCGTGACAGCTGAGGACAGCCGGGCTCCGAGCCTCGTGTCAAATGCGAGGAGGCAAATGCCTTTCAGGCTTTCAGCCCTTACTCTATTCAGGAAGATGCCCTATGATGTTGCTTTTGCCCCTAAAAATTACTAAACGTTCAGGACTGAAAATGTACATTCATTTGAAAAAGACCCTCAGCGTGTAACACGGGAGAACTGCAGGCCCACCAGGACTTTGGGTGGGGCTGGGGCATGCAACACATCTAGAAGGGGTCTTGTTTTTTCAACTCAGAATAGATCCGAAAATCGAATATGGATCTTTAGCGATGCCCAAAAGAATAAAAACTCCCCACATCTGGGTATTAACTTGGTAAATTAAGATTCCAGTGAAATGTTTTGCCATCTGCTATAGAAACATTGCGCGAGCTTCAGGTGTTAGGATGTGGGTTTGGAATTTTCTGTGCTGTATTTAATCCTCAAAGACATTAAATAACAGCATGGTAATACACCCGGCAAGCGAGCAAAGGTTATCCTCGCCACCACAGCACCTGCAAAAGCACAAGTGGAACTCATATTTTGCTTCCTGAGTTCTAAAATGGCTTCTGAACCATCCAGAGGTACCAGCACATACGAGGGGGGATCAGGGGCCGGGAGGGGAGTTTATACTTTTTAAAATAATACACAGATATTATTACACTTCAGCTGTTTCACCTCACCTCTCTCTCCCAGACTCCATCCTCATTGGCCAAGGAAGAATTTTAGGGTAGGCCTACTCAATAATTCTATATGCAACCTTTGTCTCTTCTCTCACCACACTCCCACCAAAAATAACCAGTTAGCCAAAAACATCAGCTCTTTTGGGGAGGAAGTAAAAAAAAAAAAAAAAAATCCCACCAACCTTTATTCAAAATTCCCGTCATTTCTTTTGAGCACTAAAAAGAAATCCTACATATAACTAATATCATGAAAGAAGAAATAATTTAGCAGGACCTCAAATGCATGCAATTGGTATAATTGCAGTGATATTAATTATCTTTTAACACTAAAATAATGGGAGAGTTTCTGGAATTGAAAGGTAAAATGCTCAAAAACCTTCCTTGAAATGTTTAGAGACAAAAGTTTTTGCTCTTTATATTTCATTAGTACAGTAGTTACTTAGAAAAAAATCTTGACCATATAAAGCAGTATCATGCTGACTAATTTTCTTTTAGTTATATCCCTTAGTTTTTCAGATTAGTTATGTGAATAGTGAAAGTTCACATAAAACTGACATCTTTTAATGTTAAAGTTTTAATTTAGAAATGCAACCAAATTATCACAACCATATTAAAATACAGTCCACTCCCCTGTTTCTTCTAAGTGTACAGTTTGCACAACTTGCTGGTTAAAGAAGTCTGCCTTGAGTTTAAAATTTATACTTCGGAAACATGATTTTCTAAAGTAAAACATAACTTACTGGTCTTTAGGCATAACTATTCTATAATTTGGCTATTCTGTATACAGCTAATGTAACAATATCTCCTCCTCTTACATTTTGAAACTATTGTAAAAGTCCCTTGGGCCCAAATAGTTCTTGTTCCAGTTTTCTCTTCAGATATTTTTACTAAGAAGTGACTGTCCTCAATGATGCAGCAGCATTCTGATGTCCACTCTACTAATGCAAGAACTTCAGAGCAAACGTATACAGGCCATATAAAAAGGAACATGCATTTTTTTTCT